CCTGTATCATTTAGCATTGATCTTGCCATCTCAATCAATGTACGATTAGCTCTCTCAGCTACACCATTCTGCTGAGGAGTATACTCAACCGACAACTGATGTCGTATCCCTTGCTCTTTGAGGTAAGTCTCAAACTCATTATTTATGTACTCCCGACCATTGTCCGAGCGTAACGTCTTCAACTTCTTGCCGGTCGTTCTTTCCATTACACATTGGTACTCCTTGAAACAATCCAATGCTTGACTTTTACTCTTTGTAAAGTATACCTTAACCGACCGGGAATAATCATCTATGAAGGTGATGAAGTAACGTGCACCGCCATAGGAGTTGATCCTCATTGGTCCACATACATCTGAATGAACCAATTCTAATACGCTGCGACTACGTGACTGAGACTTTGGAAATGGCAATTGGATCAATTTATTCTTTAGGCAACATTCACATTGCGTATTACTAATCTGCTTTGGCTCTAACCCGTACACCGACTGGGACTTCATCATCTCTCTGATGGTATCAAAATTAACATGGCCAAAGCGTCTGTGAATGAGCATCATCTGGTTTGTCAAACCAGGCTTCAACGTAGCTAACTTGGCTGTAACGACATGCTTGTATACGTACAGACCATTTTCATGTTGAAAGTTCATTACATTCTCTCCCTTTGCATTGGAGATCCAGGCTACGTCAGATCTAAAGTTAACATAATTTCCTCTCTTTAGAAGAACACCGACCGACAAATAATTACAATCGAGCTTGTCGGTATATAATACATCTTTGATCAAGACACTTGTTGCACCGACCTGCATTTCAATTTCACCAGCTCCAATGATGGGTATTTGTCGTCCATCAGCAACAGACATAATATTGCTTTCTGGTGACTTTAAATGCTTGAAATAACGTTTATCACAACATACATGTGCCGTTGCACCGCTATCCAGGATCCAAAGGTTCCGGTCGTTACTGGATCCTAATGAGAGTATTTGTGATTTTCCGGTCGTATTGTCTTGATGTCGGTTAGCCGACTTGCACTCAGATGCTATGTGTCCAAAGCGATTACATTTGAAACACTTAACTCTACGCTCTTTGCGTCTCTTCGTTGTCTTTATTGCAAAGGCAGCATCTGACGTTTTCTCCTTTCCGGTCGTCTTCCTCATCTCCTCTTCCAAAAGCTTTGTTTTTAAAACTGCTGAGCTGGGCGGTGTGTCCTGACTTGTCACTGCAATCACGAACATCTCATAAGCTTCGCCCAGGCCGACTAGCAAAGCCACTGATATTAACTTGTCATCTAGCGTAACTCCTAAGTCCACCAACTGATCAACGACAGCAAAGTATTCAGCTAAATAGCTTGACATGGATGTAGTCGGTTGATATCGCATAGTAATTAATTTCTTGAACGCGGTGAACAATAGGGAAGGTCCAGTCTTCGCATAAGCATCTTTCAAAGCATTCCAAACTTCTTTGGCGGTATTAAGATTCTTGAACAGACGGTAAGCTGAAGGCTTCACACTTAACGTAATCTCAGCTTTTGCTTTTTCATCTCGTCGGTCTCAAGTCTTATCATCGTTGACTTTTTCACCACCAATCACGTCCCACAGATCATTGTGAATGAGGACACTCTTCATTTGGATACTCCAAGTATCATAGTTGTCGTCACTTAATTTCTCGACTTGAAGGAACGCATTAGACGCCATAACGTATTGATGACAGAAGACTTAGCACAAGTTAAAGATAACTATATTAAAGGTAACCAGAGCAAACCAACCACGCTCTGCTACCATGTGAGTGAATCGCGATAATTGGTTTGCAGCTACGTTAGTAGCGAACGACTGGAGCCAGTCGGTTTAGGTTAGAACACTTTAATATATAAGTAAAAGGTATTTACAATAGGTGAAGTGGAGAGTTAGGGTAAAGGAGATAGACTGGTTAATGTGCCATTGATGGCTACTCTATTTATATCTATGGGTTACGCCATCAATGGCTAATCTAGAAAGTACTAGAAGGTGAATCATAGGACGTAGTGATTGCAACATTGCCTTGACTATCTAACCGACAAGTCAAGGTTATCTAACAAAACTGTTTCAACTGACAATTGATGGCTACATTTGATTCAATGCTAATATGAATTTCATTTTGTGCAAACATCTCATCATTATTGATATCAATATTTCACCCTCCCTTTCACCTTTAATCAATTTATTCAGTTTCTTTTTCTGTTCAATTTTTGCATCGTTTACCATTTTTTTTGTTCAATCTTTCTTTTTTTGTTCCCATTCTAACCCTGTCATCATGATGTATCCCTTCAATGATAATCTATTGTGAGTGAACCTTTGACAATCAAGGTAAATGTGATTCGCTGATGTGATCATCATTGCGTGTTCAATTCCTATCATCAACCAAAATCTCAAGATAAATGAGTAAGACAATAAATATCGTCTTCTGCAACAATTTTTTGCTCTTCCTTCACCATTCCTCAGTTACACTGTTTCCTACAACCTTCACTGTTATCTATCTTGTCTTCCCATGAAATCTCCTGAGATAGACAAGTGTTTCAGCCATTGTGTTGGATAAACAATTTCAACAATTTACTATTAAAAATCATCAATCTGCCGATTCATGATGAATTGAGCATTTCACAATTTTCATTCTTTACCAGAGTAAATATGCTTTTCAATCTCACAGAGACAGATCAACATTCCCAGACTCGGCGAGCGAACAGAAAATAACAAGAAAAAAAAGTCGAAAAAAAATATTGCAAATAAATTCCAATCAATCTTTATCTCTCCATTCAATTAACCTTTCACCAGTGAATCGTAAATATCGATGAAACATGAATGTAAAGTTGAGAATTGAAAACTAATTGATTTGAATGGAAAAAAGAGTTTTTCAGGGGAAAATTGATGAAACAAACAGATAACTTTTTCGAAATGTACAAACATGATTAACACCATTTCAGGTCAGGAATTAATGTATTAATCATTTTGCTTTTTTCCCTGTGAGTCATGGAATATGAATTTATTTTTCTGTTTCAACTTTTCTCTTCACTTTTCCACCTTTTAAACCCAATTCTGCCAATTTTATTAATAAGAACTGAATCTGGCAACTTTTTTTACTCGCTCAAAATTACTCCCATTATTAACCATTTTTGCTTTCAACTCTTTTTCCTTGCTCAACATTTCTGTTATTAAACATGAACCATGAGCATTCCTGATTATTGTTACTTCAGGTTATCCATGAATAGTTATTCATCATTTGATAACGTCTGACATAACGTGATAAAAAAAATTGAGCCAAATGTTAAAAGGGAAAAGTGAAAAATAACGAGAAAAAATGGGGAAAAGTAATGAAAATAATTCATTTTTTAAACCTTTTTTTGCCAACTTGAATATCATTTTCAACAGATAAATGTTCACAATGGTATTGTTGTTGTTGTTTATTTGGTTAGTTTAGTAAAGGTTAAAAAGCCTTTTTTTCTGCTTCTTTGTATTTTCATATCAATAAAATATTTTATTATAACTTTTCGGTAAAGAAATTTAATTTTAAATTGAGAAGGAAAAACAAGGCAAGAAAACTATTGAATCTCAGCCAAAATTTGTTTACTTTGTTCTAAATGAAATAATGTAATATCGTAGAGATATTGAAAGCCTCTCAAGCTTTTACTCTTATTCAGATAAATATTATTGTAAAGAGGATGGTTTTTTGGAGCACCAAAACAATTGACAGAAAATTTGTACAAATTTTCCATGATATTTCGTGAATTCGCAGAATCACTAAAGTTCTAGATTATCGACAGTTCGGCAGTTTTGCCCAATCAAGTACCATGAGTTTGTCCACCGAGTTGCTTGAAAAGTACATGGGAATCTTAACCTGGTGGCAAAGCTGGCCGTATCAAGCAGGAAGAAGAAATGTAACGATTAGTGCTGGGCGATTTTAGCGATAAAAGCGTTGCTTCAGTGATCATCGATTTCCAAGAGACAAACATCGATGTTTTTATTTTTCTGAATCACCTTTTACTATGTTATTCAAGAGCTTTTTTTGCTTGTTTTCTTATCACTTTAAACTATGCCTGGGACTTTTCATTAATGATGATGATCAATGATCATTGATTTTCATTGAAAAAATTGCGCTATAATCGATAATTGGAATTCGCATAACCACACATCACTAGAAGCGATTTCTTAAAGCAAAATAATTTTGTATTTGTTTTTAACAATAAAGAACTTTTCTTGGTTCGAAGTT